CGGGAGCAAGAGTTGGTTCGGGAAGAGGGAGCCGGCGCTGCAGGGAGGCAGGCGGGTGGCGAGCCAGCGAGCGGAGGACAAAGGGAGGGCGGCGGGGCCCCCTCCGCGGGTGACTTGCATGGCTCTCTGATCGTCCCGCAAGAACGAACCGGGACGTCCCCCGCGGCCCTGAAATTGCACTTTCTCTCATTTTTGCACTCACGCTCCGCCCCCGCCATGGTCGGGCCAGGAGCGATGGGACTCGGCGGGTCTGATCCTGTCCCTCCCTTCCCCGCTCTGGAGTTGGGGCTCAGCGTCCTGTACGCGCTCCTCTACGCTGGCCTCTTCCTCTTCACTTACCTGCAGCTCTGGCTGCTGTTCTACTACCGAGAGAAGAGGCTCAGCTACCGCACCGTGTGCCTCTTCCTGTGCCTGCTCTGGGCAGCGCTGCGCACCGTCCTCTTCTCCTTCTACCTGCAGACTTCCATCCAAGCCGTAGAGCTCCGGCTCCAGCCGTTCCCACACTGGTTGCTCTTCTGCTTCCCGGTCTGCCTGCTCTTCGCCACCAACTGCCTCCTCAACCTCTACTTCGCCGAGGTAAGTGGCCGGCTCAGCCTTGCCGGCGCCGGCTCTTTTCTGAAAGTGCTTGTCTCCGGGATGCTGTAAACAACGGGCACAATGAGCGGCGGCGAGCCGGGCACGCCTCCCATTCTCCTGCATGTTGCTTTTGCTCCGCTGTTTGTCCCGTGTTTACCACACTCTGGTGCATCTGCAAAAAAGCCTCTCGGTGGTTTTCTTGCCCTCCCTCCGCCTACTGCCTAAGGGAACAAACGAGCTAACAAGGTTCTGGGAGCTCGTAAGGAGGCGAGCAAAACCGCGCTACGATGCGAAGCCGAGGTCGGCATCCAGTAGCTGTAGCGAGAGTCTTGCGGTGCAACAAACGGGTTGTTGCCCTCAAAGTGCACAGAATCCTTCGCTGCTCTGGAGGCAGCACAGCTAATGCGGTTACTTCATCGGAAACCATAGCTCCGTATTTCTTTAAGAGTGAAGCAAACGCGAATAGCAACAGCCTAGGTTGCTCAGCTGGGATAGGGACGGCTGACAGCCATTACGTCATTGCTTTGGGCTTTCTTCTCCACCTCCTATTGTTGCTGCCTTTCTTAAAATACTATTTTAAAAAAGACTTGGCTTCTCCCCCCCCCCCTTCTTTTTCCTCTTGCTGCAGAAGGTAGCATCTGCAGCGTGGTAGTTCTGGCATCTTTTAACCTGAATGGGTCACATCTGAAATGTTGGTATGATCTTTGTGTGTGTGGCTGCTGGATTAATTTCCAAGCCCCCTCCTCTTGAGTCTTGCTGATCAGCTGTTTTCAAATCCTTAGTGTCATCTTTGTTTTTTAGCTTCCTGTAAACTCCTCATCTATTGAAACAAAGCAATGTCCAAATCTTTACAGCTGCAGCAAGGTTTGGATGGCCTTTTAGTGTCTTCCATTGCAATCTTATGCATAAACGTGAAAGAATCTTTTGACACCTTAGAAAGATAATAATGATTGTACCATAAGCTTCGATGAGCTACAATCCCCTACCTTGGATGCATCTTCCCTTGGAAGGTGGATGGTTTACTTCCAAGCAAAGTACCTGAAATTACAGCCCGTTTGGTTTCAATTATACACTTCTGGTGAATGGTCTAGATAAACTTTTTCTAGCAATGGCATGTATCATCTTTACGTTACACTTCCTCCAGTTATTGGGATATTGTCACTTCTTGAACAAACCTGCAGACCATCCTTTCTCCTTGCACTGCAAAACTGTATTGTCACTTAGGAGGCGGTCTCGACAATGACTTCATTCTCTCAGAGACTCAGGGGTGTTCACATGATGAGCACAAGAGAGCTGCTGTTCTTGCCATGAAAATGAAAATGTTTGTTTTGTGAGCAAGCCTTAACATTTTTGGGAGGACGGGGAGCTCAAACTAGCTGACATCTCACATGTGGGTGGAATTGAGGAGGTTTTTGTTTTTGAACTGGGTATTCGAAGGCTTAGTGCTGTTTTGCACTAATAAACAGGGAAACTGTAAACTGTGCAGTCAGCTTTCAGCTGGCATGACGAATGGCAGTTCCAAGACTCACAAAAAGGGAAAGGGGCCATATATGGCCCTGGGGATGCGGGTCATCTACCCCAACTCTAGGGTGGACTGTATGTGAAATAAACCTAAGGAAGGCAATAGCTTCTGAAATCTGGAACACCCCTAGTTTATTTCCCATTTTTAAAATGGCCCATTGCAATGAACAGACAAAATATTTGAGTAACATAACCAGCTATAATACGGAGGCAGTTCTTACGTGTTGGTTGATTGCTTAAAAAAACCAACAGTGCAATACAATTTGTTCCTCTTTCCTTCAAGGGAGGCAGCCTGTGTCATTTTCTTTCAGAGAAAAAAAAGTATGGAAACCTAGAACTATTTTTCCCCCACTAGGAAGAGCTAGCATGCTTGGAAATAGTAGAGCTTTAACGGTCCATGATGATTTTTTAGACCAGTGTTTCTCAACCTTGTCAACTTTAAGTCGTGTGGACTTCAACTCCCAGAACTCC